GTCTTTCTGCTCTTGGGCTTTTCAAGTGACTTTCCTGCACAATTCATTTAAAATCAGGAAAGGGAGTTAAAAGTGAAAGAAAGGGAAGAAAAACGTCAAAAAAAAAAAGAGATTGACGCTGAAAAAGAACAACGTCGCAAAGAGAAGGAAGAAGCTAAACATAAAGATCATATTTCTTTACAGAACCAAGCTTCCTTCATGGATCGTTTCCTTAAAGGAAATTCATCAAGTCCGTCGCCAAAATAATCAATCAACAACTGAATTGACGACATCAGTTCCATTGCTGGAGGCTTGCACGCAGTTAATGGACTGCATACTTTCCTCAAGTGATGAGATGATTCTTGCTGATATCCGCACGTATTCATTTTCTTTATACGGTCATACATTTAAGAAATATTCTACTTTCAGGCGGCATTTGTCTTCTTGGCGCTCCATAGATCATTCAATTCGTTCAAGAGGAAAAAGCCATTGGGGCATTCGTCAAAAGCCAATGGCTGAAATACTTAAGGAACTTAAACTTTCACCTGCCAGAAAATCAGCTAATGATGATAAAATGGGGTAAGGAGAGGCTTGCAGATGGTAGGCAAGAACAAACTACAGATGCTGGAAATACATATAATTGGTTTGATATCAGTGATGAATGTGTTTTAACATATTTATACTCAACCTTATTCTATTTCTTCTGAAGTATGCAAGTTTTCTTTCATATGAACTAGTTTATTGAACTTGTTTTCCTTGTGGGAGTTTAAAGCTTAATTGATGTGATGTTGCTGAGGAACGCATATTTCTTAAGTCTTTGCATTACGATGTCTTGAATCTTTATAGTTTACATGCTTCTCTTGTACTTGTTAATATTTGATCCTTGACAATGACAATATCTCATTTAACAGGTATCAGCTATTCAGTCCTGCTCACAGGGTATCTAAATTTGTTCCCCAATATACCAAATATCTGATTTTGTTTAAACCGATGGCAGGTTGGTGAATTGGTTCTAAATTTGACTCATAGATTTCAATACATAGATGCTTTTAATAGTTGGTCAGTTCTTGTTCTTTCCAGTTTTCTTTTGAGATTTGTTCTTTCAAATACTTCAAACATGCATGGGATCTGCCTACGTTCTTGTTCTTTCCAGTTTTCTTTTGAGATTTGTTCTTTCAAATACTTCAAAGATTATTTCAGTTTGTTCATTTTGATTCTGGTGTTCGATCTTACTTAACAGTATGCACGATCTTATATATATATGCAGATTAAGAGGATATTACCCCAGAAGAACAAAAAGTATTGAAAAAGGTACCTGTTCAGCCGTCCAAGATCACTTTTTACCAGCTTTTGTTCTATGATCCATTGTCTGTCCCCTTCCTTATATCTGTAAATCCTGTAGTTGATTGAACCCTGAAGTGTTTGAAAAGAGAAAGGAAATAAAAACTTTGCAAAAGATGCAGAAGCTTATGGAAACTAGAGAAAAATGTTTTTAGCTCACATGGGTATATATATATATATACACCGAAACCTTTAGCCAATATTTTTCTTTGAGTTTTCTCTCTTCTATCTTTAGTGTTTATTTAGATCGAGTGTGTGCGTTGTTGTGTGATTAACCCTTGGAAATTAAGCATAGTAGTTGGAAAAATGTTTGAAAAATGTAAGGAATGGTATATTATATGATTACTCCCTCATAAATCATACAGCGAACTAGGAAAGAACACATATGAGTGAATATCAATCACAAATTGAATGAACAACAAATGAAAAGCATGAAAGAAAATCATACAACGGAATACAAGGAAGTATTCCTAAACAGGGAAAGGCGGCGCCCATTTGGAATCTTCAAACTGCTGAACCTTCCCACTCCTCTTCAGATCCTCTCCGCTTCCATTTCCTTCAACATACAAATAGTATTTCAAGCAAAACGCAAGAACCAGGACGATCCATTCCAGACAGAAGATCAAGCCGCTCAATCCGCCGCTCAATTTCAGAATCACCGTTCCGCTTTCCTCCCGGACGTACGATTTCAGTTCGCCAAGGAAGTTGGCTGTTCTGGTGTAGACCAGGACCGTGAGGGAGCCCTGGAAGATGGCGGTGAGGACGGTGAAGACCATGTGGACGCCGTACCAGCGGCCGGTGGCGGCAGAGGCCATGGCGCAGCCGGAGATAGCGCCGGCGATGGTGAATGCGTGGAGGAAGATGATGAAGAAACCGCAAACGGAAGGGAGGAGGCGGAGGGATAAGGTTAGGAAAATGCAGCTGGAGGCGGCGCCGAGGAGGACGTAGTTGCAGAGGAGGAAGAGATTGTGGATGTTGTAGTGAGCCCTAGAAATTGAGGTTGAAGAAGAAGTTGAAAGGCCCATTGGAGGAGAGAAGTGTGACTGAAAGCTTCGGATTTGTGCGATTAATGGAGAAAAATTTGGAGATTGAAGACTTTGAGATGAGGTTGATGAAGAAGAAGGGGGAAGTTTATAGGGCTTTTCAAAGCTTTTTGGGGGCAACGGTCATTTTCTTTTTTGGTTCATAATTGAAGTGTTTTTTTGTCTCTTTATGTTTAAATTTTGAGGGACGTTACTCCAATTGGATTAAAATGGTGTTAACGGCTACTTATTTATTAATTTCTAGAAGACCTCCCATACAATGGGCACACAAGATTGTAGAAAAACAATGGCAACCTTGACTTCTAAGCACCACACCACTCTATTTAGGTTAATAATCTATGTTGAAAACAATTCTCAAATGATGAGTATCTCGCAACAAGGATTTACAAATAGGAAATTACATTAGTATTACTGTGATATGAACATGAGTCACCACTTCAAGATAGCGCTACGAACCTGGGGCATAGTATCACAATCATACTATGAAAACAGTAGGTTATGACCTCCACGTGGAGATCGACAAGATGGTGATCTTTAAGTGACGTCCATCCGGCCACACATGGAGGAAGACAAGACAGGTGTCATGATGTGATCGAGGAAAACGGTGCATCATCCAACACACCCAGAAAAGTGTGTATTAAATTCAAGCTGAGGCACAAGCAAAGATTGGAGGCAAACAAGTAGACAAGATTGTCAAAGACGAATTCTAAGAGGGTCAGGTCCCGAGCTATAATCTCAAAAGTTGGGGGTTTCGATATAAGTTTCGATATGTGACTTTGGAGTTAAGTTCGTTTATATAAAATGAGTGCTAGCCAAATTTGGTGTCAACTGAATATTCAATAAACGCTCCATGAGGTTGTATGATCGTTCACCAAAATCACGTACACTCTTGCCAGACCAAAAAAACTACCTCAAAATGTACTAAGGGAGACATGTGTCATGTTCTGGGCAACTGTTGTAAGACGAGCATCTTATGAAAACAAGTTTATTGAGGATAGTGTGGGACAACACAAGTGTGTCGACATTGTGTCCTGGCCCATGTGTTAGAAATAGGTATATGGGACCACTCTCTGGCACAGTATCCATAAATGATTCGGCATGAATACAGGATAGTTAATGTCTCGATAGTACCTAGATGGATAAAAATTCGAGGTGTCCTGATGATAAAGATGAATCATGGGTTGATTCTCAATAAGCATGTTCGAGCAAGTAGCAAAGATTGACAATGTTTTAGGGCTTTGATGGCATCACGAATCGTTGGCCATGTTGTTGAAAATCATAATGATGAAGATGAAATGCAACATCACATTCAAAAGACCTTAGCTTAAAGTAGAAACAAGTTCGAGTCGAATGACTTGACCTACAGTAAAGGCAAGTCGGCTAGCGTTGCAACAAGCAAACATGCATGCACGAGCGATGTGTATAGTCGAACAAGCTTAGTTTCCATATGAGTTATTGATAAGACAATCCTAATCCTCAGCCCGATCCAAGCTTTTGATGTTGCAAGAACCCTTTGAACCAAAGAAATTAACACCTTATACAAAATTCGGAAACCAAGAGATAAGGCTAGAATTAGATTATCTCTTACGATCAATGATCCACCCCCATATACAAAATTCGGATCAACCAGGTTAGAATTAGATTATCTCTTACGATCGAAGATCCAAAAGCAAAGATTTGGAATCTTGTTCTAGATTGAGAACTTGATCAAGGCTTTCGATCCACCCCCATATACAAAATTCGGATCAACCAGGCTAGAATTAGATTATCTCTTACGATCGAAGATCTAGAAGCAAGATTTGGAACCTTGTTCTAGATTGAGAACTTGATCAAGGCTTGATTGAATGACTATGATCAAAGATCCAGAAGGAAGATTTGGAATCTTGTTCTAGATTGAGAACTTCATCAAGGCTTGATTGAATGACTATGATGAAAGAAGATTTGGAACCTTGTTCTAAATTGAGAACTTGATCTGATTGAAGGGCTCAGATGCAATTTACCACAAGAATTGCATGAAAAAATGCCTCGAATTTTCTAAAGATTGAAGGGCTCAGATGCAATTTACCACAAGAATTGCATGAAAAAATGCCTCGAATTTTCTAAAGAAACGTCTCAATTTAAGAACTCAATTTCATTCATCCACGAATCTCCTTTTTTACCTAACATATTGTGGGTACAGATGTATGCGCCCGTAATTCAATCCTGATCCCCTTAATCAAAGACGTTTGCGGTCGAAATTCAATCCTGATCCCCTTAATCAAAGACATTTGCAGCCGGAATTCAATCCCGTAATCAAAGACATTTGCGGCCGGAATTCAATCCCGAACCCCTTAATCAAAGACGTTTGCGGCCAGAATGCAATCCCGAACCCCTTAAACTGTCAATTTGACCCTTTGACATCACATACTAAAAATATGGCTAAGAAGATAGATTTAGCGACCTTTGAATGAGTCAAACCCAACCTTATTCACTAAAGAGCAATCAATCCTAAATTTATAAGAACTTGTAAAGCCTACTTCTGTTTTTATCTTTCCATTTTTCAATATTTGTTTCTTTCATATATCTATCTTAACAACACTTCTACGTAAACTGATAAACAAAACCATTACCTCTAAACCAAAACAAGCTACATCAAAGTAGGAACGAGTACTGGTGGTTGATAAAAGACAAAGCAACATTCAAGATTCTGCGCCATAATTTAAAGTTGGTTTGGTTATTACAAGAGATGAGTACTAGGCATTCTATTTTGTGTACCACGAAATTTAAAACCCAAGTCAATACTGATCCTTTTCTTCTAAATCAATAAGGAACTGGAGGGTGACATAGCTGCTGCATCTACCAGCAGCAGCAACAAGACAGTCTAATCCATACTTTCCTTCAGCAATTACGATTAGAAAGTGATATCTAACTCGAAAACGCATCAGACTTGTACTCATATGTTGTCAGAAAGGCCTCAGTCGAGTCCAGCCATGTAGTTCTGTTGCTCTTACACCAGTATTTCTCGGCCGAAGATCCAGCTAAATGGAACTCTTTGTGCTTGCTTGACTCTGCTTTGAGCCCTCTCTTCCAGCCTTCTAATCCTTGGAGGCAACCCGCACACGAAGTCTTGTGCTTTGCATCCCTCGCCTGAAAGACCTGTCAAATCCTCTATTTTCCATCTGCTGACGAGGAACTCAAGAATGTCAGCATAGTCTTTAGCAGTGTAAATTCCAAGCCGCTGAGCAACAGATGAGAAGTGCTCAAAAAGGTTGTCATCTCGGCCATCGTACATCAAATGGGCTGGCATTGAGATTTTTTTCTTCATCATGTCAGCTAAGGCCATAACTGTGCCATCAGGGTCAACCTCAAAAAGCTTCTCAACGATCTTGGTGTATGCAGTCTCGTGGCGTTTTTCATCGGATGCAATTATACCACATACCTGTGCCAGCTTAAAATCACCATGCTCCTTGGCTAGCCTCGCAGTGTTCCCATGGGAGATGAAAGTTGCCCTCTCTTGAAATGAGGTGTAGATGAAACCAAGGTATGGATTGTTTTCTGTCTTGGGATCCTAAAAGGCACAAAGACAAATAACAGCAAAGCATCTTATAATAACATCAAAGCATCTTATGATTAAACTATGATCCAGATAAATCAACTGTTGCAAACAAAATGTATACAAAAATATGACAATGGACTATTTCTAGCATTCAGATGGCAGCGAAGGCCATTATGTAGAAGCAGCAAGTTGCATCTACTCACAGTGACCCAGCATCCAGTTCATTTACGATCAAAATACAATGTTCAATCAAATTTGATACTGTAAAAACTTCAAAAGAGATCCAAGTGCACAGTTAAATAACCAAAAATACTTACAGAGATCGAATTGTTTAAACTCAGAATTCTAAGGGACCACAAGTTTCTAAGAACTTGGGTGCTACTTGAGAATGTTTTGGAAAATGTTGCCTCCTTTTTAAGATACAGCTTGAATGAAAACATGTTAAGTTGATGTAATAAAATTTGTTTGGTCCTAGATGTTTCCTAGTAAATTTTTAGGGATGAGCACAGTACTTAATTGTGACTTCAAGCGCACAAAAATCTTTACTTTTCAAGGGAAAAGGAATTGTTCCTAGAAACAAAAACAAAAACAAAAAACTATTTTTGAGAACAAGCAAACTAACCATTCCTGATCCAATGAGATACTGGATGGTCTTTTCAATTTGCTTCATATCGACTCGTCCGGACAGGTAAAGGTACTTATTCAGAAGGTCACCATGTCTATTCTCTTCGGCAGTCCAGGCCCTTGTCCATATTGCCCACGAGGTGAGGCTTGCACCAGTCTCATCACGAACACCATCAAGGGTGTTCAGCATTGTTTGGTAAGTTGGAAGTGCTTCTTCAGTGATCATGTCCCCAACCAACGTCACAAAATAGTCATCAGGAATATCCTTCGATCTCTCCCTTATTTCCTTGACTTGGTCATAAAAACCATCAGATTCCGGGTCTGGGAGATAATCTTGAGGCTGCCAACAACTTTCCACAGGCTTTAGGTGAACCAATATGTTCTGTTCTGCCCAATCTTCTAATGATTTAAAGATCTCCATCTTTTGTGGTGGCATGGAATGAGTCACTTGGACATGCACTTCCCGGGGAGGGAAATATGGCTTTTTTGTTCCCTCTGTCGATCTGTAAAATAAAATAAACGAGGTGATAAGTCAGCCGCAGTTCTATATAATGCAGAAATTTTCTCTACAAGAACGAGAGGCTCCTAACTCGGTCTCTTATGAGATTCTCTGAGTGCAGTTTTACAAGCAACTCCACTCAAGAAATAACAAGCTAATCCAGAATGAGCTACTGCAGACTGCTGAGATACCAAATTGAATGGAAATGTAGTGTGAAGAAGCCAACAGTTAGTCGAGAGCAACCATAGGACATGCCTTAATCCATAGATACAAACATAATACGACCATAGAAAAGAATCAACATGAATCCAAGAAGCTATTTAGATGCAACAAAGGATGAGTCCTTTTTCCTTCTCGTGAACCAGGGGAGTGTCAGAGGAGTGAAGCTCATTTTCCTTTCAGGGTAAAGCAGCACATAAAAAAGAGCTTCCCCATAAAAAATCCAGTTCCTCAACAAACGAAGTTCAGAATCAACAAGGGGACGTAGAACGAACGGAGTGCACAACAGGGGTGCAGCCCCACTTTTTTGTTCGTAGCGAGGGAGATCTCGAATGGGATTCTTCATGAAGTTCGAAAGAAAGGAATAAAATAGAGTTTCTCTATGACCTCCTCGTTTTGAGACATTATGGCTTTGGGGTCGACCCCAGTAACAAAGAAGGAATCCATAAATGGTTGTGATATATCCAACTATTTTGCATAATGTTCTAAAAGAGCCCCAAATACCCATTTCTATCTATGGAGAATAGTACACTAAATGCAACATAACAATCAGCTTTCCATAGTTTTCCTTTAGATAAGGAAAACCTGTGGTGTGTTGCATATAGAAAGAGAGGGAGAGGGGTTACTTCTATTATCTACAAGTGGCAAACGGGTATAGGGACACTGGCAGATCAACTAAACTGACAACAAAATCAACGCTTTAAAACTCCAAGATTCAAATACCAAATTTTAAGACTACAAGCTTATGTTTGCTTACGTATGAACATATTCAAAAGTAAAGCAAGCCACACGCTGAATACGCTGAATAATTAAGCTCATGAAAACGGTACTCAATTTGTATTCTCTTAATTTCTTAGTTTCTTTATTTTAGAAACCGTTTAAAAAGTAATAGCCAATTTTTAAGAACTTTAAAAAGTAATTTTAGAAATTATTTTCTAAAATATGGCTAAAAACTCAAAATTTAAGAGACAAAACAAAGAATTTGTTATGAAACAAGCCTAATTTTTAAAATATTCCATTCCAAAAAACTAGATAAAATGAAGGAATTAATAAGAAAAAAAAAAACCCTGCAAGAATGCTTAATACAGCTTAATTTAATTTTGGTAACAACAAGGCAAGAATAAGAGCAATTTTCGAAATCCAAATATTACACTAGCGCAATTATATGCGTCTGTGTGATTTTCAAATAGAACATACATTTAAGCAAACAATAAATCAAAATTCTTCTAAAGGAAATTATTGAAGACCACATCTCTCCACAATTCCACATCGTCATGAATGAGCAAAATGTAATTTTCAATATTTTTTTTTTGAAGGGACAAAGTTTAAAATGGAATTGAAAATTTAAAAGTCTTGAGAAAATATTTACAAATGCAAACATAATTGAAAGTATAATTAAGTTTATATAAATACAACTTGGACCACCAATAATACATATGTGTATATATGTAACAAATATGTCTTCTATCAAGATGACCTGACCCAAAAAAAAAACAAAAACAAAAACAAAAAAAATCAAGGGAAAGAATCGATCCTTCTCAAAAAAATTTAGCAAGTATGAACGGAAATGAAAATTCACATCAAGATGAAGAGTGGATTCCATGACGTTTATAGTTCAGAAGCACAAAAACTCCCTAAACCAACAGAAAAACCCCAAATCTTCCCTCTAAGTTACTTGATTTCCCAATTCAGGGACAGGCGGAGATTCCTAAGATCGCAATATCAACAGAAATAAGTCATTTCAGATTAGAATCCCTAACCATTCAGACACATAAAACATTAACACAGACCACAATTCATGGAAAAGAAAGAAAAAAAAAATCGAACTCGAATCAGTAGGCAATAGCAAAACAGAATTGATCGAAATCAAATGAGAGACAGTAAGCAACAGAGATTGATAAAGAGACGAATAGGGGGAAATGTTAGATACTGACTTGGAGAGAGAGTGGAGAGTGGAGGCCATGAGAACAGTGGGAGATCTGCGACGGCGGTGGTGTCTGGAAGGGAGGGTGTGAGATGGGAACTTCACTGCGGGATTCAGCTGGAGAGCCATTAGCGATGAAGAAAGTATGGTGATGAGAGAGGGATTGTTTGGAGAAGGAGAGAAATGGGAAGAAAGAATGGCGGAGAAAAAAAGGAAGTGGAAGAAGAGGTGGATGAAGATGAAGATGAAGATGAAGAAGGCGAAGCACAAAGGGCGAGGCGTGGGTTTATAGTGTATCAAGTGTGTATTGTGTATGCGGTCAACTACGAACTGCGCTTTTAGCGAGAATCACGCTAAAACCTCTAAAATATGCTTTCATAATCCCATTTATTTTCCTACATTTTAATTTCCTCAATTTCTATTTTTTATTTTTTAAAAATAATGGTGGCAGAATAAAATTTTAAAATATATGAATAATTATATTGTAACTAAAATATATATTTTAGTATTAACAATAAATTCCAATTATTCAGTTAGTTTAAGAGACAGATGTCACGAGGAGGGGACGATCAATTTCTCCTTATCTATTTCTATTTTTCATTCTTAACATGGTATAGACCATCGATCTTGGTATTCCTTATACCCATTGGACTCTGAGTCCAAGGGGAGTATTAAACCTAAAGCCAAACCCTAACCAATCAGTGAAGCCTTTATAGCCGCCGATCATCCAATATCAAGAATACGTTATAAGCTGTTGGCTTATTGGCCCTTGATCTCACATTAATTAATTTCAATGAATTAATTATGGATGTTTTGATGATAACAAACCTACTTTTAATTATTAACTATTTTCAGTTTTTTGAACTGTCCACAGTATAAGGTCGGGAATAACGATTACAACAACTTTTCAATTACTCAAATCAGAGCTAAAACGAAGAAATTAGAGTCGAGACAACTATCCCGACGTGATGATGTGGCAACAAAATCAAAATGATGGACAAATCAAAATATATCAAAGTATGACATTTATAATATTGGAAGAGTAACACATGGTGGAGTTTTTCTTATTATTACATTTCTAAATAAAATTATTTTTACAAATATAAATTTGAATATAACCGTTACTCACATCGAATTTTATTATTACTATATTATATTATTATATTATTATATTTTAAAATTTTGGTAGTTACTCACATCATTTTTATTATTATTATATTATTATATTTATAATAAATTTTGAATTACATTTTACCGTTACTCACATAACTTTTTATTATTATTATATTATATTACTATTATATTAAAATTTTGAAATAAATGAATTTAGAAAATTTTCTTACTTAATTACTTTTAATCTCCACCTTCCATTATTCCTAACACAATCCAATGGTCAATATTCAATCCTACATTTTGCCACTTTTCTCCTCTATATAAACTCATCTTCCCCACATTTTTATATATACAACTTACATACATTCTTCAATCCTCATTTGTTCAAAGTCTCCATTGTTTATTGCTCTCTCCAAGCTTACAAGTTTATTTCTTTTCATCTTATTCTTGAGAGGGATTATTATTATATTGTGAGGAAATAGTTGTCAGTATCCCAAATTGTAAATCTACTCTTTGAGAGAGTTGTGGTGTGTTATTATCAAACTCAAATACTTGTATCGGTTTGATCCTGCGTCGTTGAAAGGATTGAGTTTGCTCTTGAACTCGTAAAAAGAGCGGTGTACCGGTTTGGCTCTGATCCGTGGAAAGAGTCGGAAAAGTTCTTTATTCAAATTCCCAAGAGGCGCTTGGGGAGTGGAGTAGGTCGAGTTTGACCGAACCACTATAAAACTACGGTGTCATTTTCTCTAACTCTTTCCTATTTAATTTCAAGATTATTATTATGTTTATTGCATGTTCTACTTGATTATTGTTTTGACTTGAATTATTTTGTTTTAGTAATTATCATCTTCTACTTATTTGTAAAAAGTTTTATCATTAGAAAAATTAATCAAGTTTAAACACTTTTATCGTTAAAACCCTATTCACCCCCCCTCTAGGGTTGCCATACCGATCCAACAATTGGTATCAGAGCAGGTTGCTCCTATAGATTTTTTATCTAAACTTTATTGTTCGAGCTTATGGCAAACCTACGTGTTAAAAATGGTTTTAGTGAAGGACAATCAACTTCTAGGCCACCTTATTTTGATGGAACAAATTATACATGTTGGAAAGCTAGGATGAAAATTTATTTGCAATCCGTTGATTATCAATTGTGGTTAAATGTTAGTAATGGTCCTTACATTCCAATAAAAATTGTTAATAATATTGAGGTGCCTAAATTAGAAAATGAATTTGATGAGCATGATATGAAAAAATGTTCTTTGAATGCTAGTGCTATCAATTGTCTGTATTGTGCCTTAAGTAATGATGAATTTAATAGAGTATGTATGTGTTCTTCGGCATATGAAATTTGGAAAACTCTTGAAGTAACTCATGAGGGAACCAATCAAGTTAAAGAAACAAAAATTAGCATGTTAGTTCATAATTATGAACTATTTAAAATGGAGGAAAATGAACCTATTGGTGATATGTTTACTAGATTTACTAATATTTTAAATGCTTTGAAAAATCTTGGAAAAGTATATTCTACCTCCGAAAATGTAAGAAAAATTCTTAGGTCTCTGCCTAAAAGTTGGGAGGCAAAAGTGACGGCGATTCAAGAAGCAAAGGATCTCACAAAGCTTCCTTTGGATGAACTCATTGGTTCTCTCATGACACATGAGATTACCATGAACGGGCACATGGAAGAAGAATCCAAAAAGAAGAAAAGTATAGCCCTAAAATCCATCAAAGTTGACTCTGAAGATGAGGACGTCCTTGATGAAGATGATGTCGCCTACTTCACACGTAAGTATAAAAATTTTATTAAAAGGAAGAAACAATTAAAAAAACATTTCACAAATCAAAAAGAGTCAAAAGGTGAAAAGAGCAAAAACGATGAGGTAATATGTTATGAATGTAAAAAGCCGGGTCATATAAGAACGGATTGTCCTCTCCTCAAATCATCTAAGAAATCCAAGAAGAAAGCAATGAAGGCTACTTGGGATGATAGTGATGAAAGTGCAAGTGGAAGTGATGAAGAAGTTGCAAATTTTTGCTTCATGGCTCATAGTGACAAAGAGGATGAACAAGAAGATGAACAAGAAGATGAGGTAACTCTTGAATCTCTTTCTTATCATGAATTATTTAAACTTGTTGATGAGATGACAATTGATTTAGAAAAACTTAGTTCAAAGTATGTTGTGCTTAAAAAGAAATATAAGACTTCAATTATTGAAAATAAGTCTTTGCTAAATGAAATTTCTTGCTTGAAGGAGAAGGATCATAATATTGTTAAAATTGATGTACCTTGTGAAAAGCATGTATTTGATTGTGATGAGAAAAATGCATTAATTGATAAAGTCAAGACTCTTGAGCATGATTGTGGTGAAAAAGATAAATTAATTAAATTGCTCAAAGAGAATGAATCAAATAATTTGCAAGAACTTGGTAGGGCTAAGGAATCTATTAAAATGTTAACAATAGGTGCTCAAAAATTAGATAAAATACTTGAAGGAGGTAAGTCATATGGTGATAAAAGAGGATTAGGCTATATTGATGAATGTTCTACACCTTCAAGTTCTAAAACAATCTTTGTTAAAGCATCCCCTATCTTGCCTAAATCTAACACATGTAAATTTGTATCTAAGTATGATAAATCTAGATTTGTGCCTATATGTCATTATTGTGGTGTTGAAGGTCATATTAGACCTAAGTGCTTTAAATTGAAAAATTCTCAAAATATTCATTTAGGAAGAAAAGTTTCTCAAAATACAAAGTTTAACAATGTTTTAGAAAATAATTTTTCGAATAAAAATAGAATACACAAATTTAGTCCAAGAAATAAATTCTTGCATAATGTCGTTTGTTTCTCGTGTGGTAAGTTTGGACATAAAGATTATTCTTGTTACTTATCTAAATACAATGTCTTTAATATGAATGCAAATATGAAATGGATTCCTAAATTTGTGAATACTAACTTTCTAGGACCCAAACAAGTATGGGTACCAAAAGGTCAATTTTGAATATCTTTGTTTTTAGGTTTGTTTGAAAGCCTCCAAGAAAAATAAGTGGTACTTGGATAGTGGTTGCTCAAGACACATGACGGGTAATCCATCCAAGTTTGTCAATCTTTCCAAGAAGGATGGTGGCTTAGTAACCTTTGGTGATAACAAGAAGGGTAAAATAATTGGTAAGGGTACTATAGGTAATGACTCTTGTACTCTCATTAAAAATGTATTGTTAGTTGATGGTTTAAAGCATGACTTACTTAGCATTAGTCAATTATGTGATAAAGGTTTTAGAGTTGTATTTGATAAGAATAATTGCATAATTGAAAATGCTAGTGATAGAAAAGTTTTGTTTGTAGGAAATAGAGACGATAATGTGTATACTATTGATTTGAATGATTGTCCTACAAATGATAAATGTCTTTCGGTTTTGATTGATAACTCTTGGCTATGGCATAGAAGACTAGGACATGCTAGTATGTACTTGATTTCAAATATTTCAAAAAATTCATTAGTGAGAGGTCTCCCTCAACTTAAATTTGAAAAAGATAAAATTTGTGACGCTTGTCAAATGGGTAAGCAAACTAAGTCTTCTTTCAAATCTAAAAATATGATTTCTACTACTAGACCTCTTCAACTACTCCATATAGACTTATTTGGCCCTTCTAAAATAGCTAGTTATGGAGGAAATTATTATGCTTTTGTGATAGTGGATGATTTTTCAAGATTTACTTGGGTTTTGATGATAAAACATAAGAATGATGTTTTGAAAAGATTTGCTAGTTTTGTAAAAAGAGTTCAAAATGAAAAAGGGTTTTTAATTACTAAAATTAGGAGTGACCATGGGGGAGAATTTAACAGTGTTGCCTTTGAAAAATTTTGTGAAGATAATGGTTTTTCTCATGACTTCTCCTCTCCAAGGACTCCTCAACAAAACGGTGTGGTTGAAAGGAAAAATCGTACTTTACAAGAATTTGCTAGATCAATGTTAAATGAGTATGATTTACCTAAATATTTTTGGGCGGAAGCCGTTAATACCGCTTGTTATATTTTAAATAGAGTTTTAATTAGACCTTCATTAAATAAAACTCCTTATG